TTAGGTCTTACAAGAGGTGACAATTGTGTGAGCCGTGAGCTGTTCGAGTCACGGTCCTCAGGCTCGCAATCCATCAATAAGCGCAATGACCTCCCGTTATCATATTCAGTGCTGAGATCTTCCCTGGGCATGGGGAATCAGTCGTGTGGGGAGGGGGCGAAAGAGCAAAAATCCTAATGACAGCGAGCTAAATGGTCAAGTAATCATCACAACAACATCCAACATGGATGATGAGATCTTAGATACTGCAGACTCGGACGAGGATTCACAAGCTAGCATCGTATCGATTACGAGACCCAGCAGTGGTCGTGAGAGCTGTTAAGTGTACTACGCATGTGGTTCTACGGCAGCTACGTACTATAAATGCTGAACTTGTTCCTCCACTACCCTTATCTGAGACTGTCTCTGTTGATGGGTTCGGGTGAGAATCCGAAACATCAGGGAAATAAATTTCTTGTTTCACTAATAGCGTCTTCGTCTTCTGAACTGCTTCCTGGAACTCGCCTGTTCGTTTCTATCGGCAAATGGATAGCTGTCTGACAACAGGACTGTTGATCTCCCTTTAGATCCGAAACAGCAGCAGTGTTCATGTCTGGGGTTCGCATTAACAGGCATCGCTCGGAAAACTCACAGTCCTCATGAAGAAGAAAAAGAAAAAGAGAGGGAAGGAGGAGGAGAACGGACCAGACAGATGTTCGGGCTCCGGGATGTGATTTTTGGCAGCAGTTACTACACGACAGTTAAGGGGGCGGCGCAACCTCAGCTAACACGGCCGCGAATAGAGTCATTTTTTCATTTGCCTCTACTTTTTTAGCTCTTAGGGCGCGAAACTCTAGACAAGGCGCTCCTCATCAGCAGAGACAGCAAAGTCGCAGGATAGTGAGAAGTCGCTAGTGTGACGAGGGGACTTATTCGTAAAGTATAGTTGTCAGCAACGCTAAAAACACGCCAATCACGGGGGATTCTCACCTCTGGCGCAAGTGTCGACCGCAAACCGCTGGGATTGGCTGAAGTAAGAACAATTGGGAAAGCCGTGGCTTCTGCAACTGCGGCACCGTCGGGTATGTGCAAGCCGGTGAGGCAATCCTTGGGAAAATCGCGGAAGGCACTGGCAAGGGCCTCAGGGATCTGACGAACGACTGGGTGGTTGGGTACACGGATGCCAATTTCGGCTACTCCAGGGTTCAGCAGCGGACTTAGGGGGTCGAGGGGTTGGCGGCGCGGCAAGATAACAGTCACTGGACCCGGCAAGAGTGTGGCCAGGAGTTTGTCGTTGATATGACTAGTATTGCACCACTGAGGGATACTACTAGCCTGACAGACGGAAGGAAAGTGTGTAAAGAATTATTGAAAAGTACAATGTGAAAGCCAGAGCAGGGGGCAGGTAATTAAATCGAACAAAATAAAGTGCTAGAAACAAATGTAATGTGCTGCACGGACCCCCTTCGAGGAAATAGTTGGAGTTGGGAATAACTTAGCAGTAGGCATCGGGTTCCAGTCCACTTTGGCATTATCGATCAGAAAGGCCGCATACTTCGGATCAAAAGACTTCATCCCTCAAGTTCAGTATTAACACAGCAGTATTCAAAGACGTTCCCAGATGACTTCACAAGTTGCACGATGACGCTTCCTCAGCTGACTTTTCGAACGCTGTCAACGACAAGGACGAAGTGGACACCGAAAAGCGAAGTGTTAGCGACATATTCCGGGGTCCGGTTTAAACCTCTGTCAGCAGACACAGATAACCGGGCAGGGGATAAGAAAGAGTAACGGCAAGCTTCAAGGTGAGTTAAGGAACAGAGTTGTGTTGGCTACTGTGTGGATATCTCAGATAGCGGCGGATATGAAGCATACGGTTATGGTAGAATACAGGCTTCGGTAGGTGCTTAACTCGGCCACATGGTGTCAATCCGAGAAGGGGGAGGGGAGGCTGTTAAACATTGCAATCCTTGCAACTTGCTTCTGCCAACAAAGTCTTCCTTTTCACTGCTAGCTGCACCTGACTGTCTGCGTAGGCCCTAAACCAGAGATCCAAGGTAAAACGGGGAAACTGGATAGGTGAGCATCTGTCTCACGAAACGGCTGCTAGCAGTGCGTAGGCTTGTAATCACCTGACAGACAACTGTACAGGTCCACAAGCCCAGTCGCATTGGTTTTGTGTTGAAATGAAGGATAAAGAGCAACACGGCGTCACTGCCAGTCGGAAAGTCCAAAAAGAACGTGCGGACCACAGTCATTCTAGTCTCACAAAGCATATGTTAAAACGCGACGACTGGGAAGGTCAGCCCGGTGGAAAAGTGGCCACCTGTGATTTCTATGTGTAAAAGAGCATGTACCTACACACCCTCGCCCCCCTACCCCGAAAAAGCAGTCTAGAGTTCTACAACTATGTTGCTCGGCGAACAAAATATCCTATAAGGACCACAAACATCCGTCATGGCTTGTGACTCCTTCCCAAGCAAACACGGGGTAGACTGCAGCTACGTTGGACGGAATGTCCCACCTATGACTACATGAAGCTGGATGGAGCATGGTGGTCATACTGCGGCAACCTCCCCGACAGATAAAAAGTGGGTGAAGGAAACTAACTTGCCTTTCCAACGCCGGACAGGGCGACAGACAAGTGCGGATTGCCAATAAGCGGTGCAAACACATCTCTGCGTATGTTTGGGCGCGAGCTCACCAATGACTCCATACTTACTTTTTCCAGTTTAGAAAATTGTCTTTGCAAAGTAGGTTTGGACACTGCGTTCAGCAGGCATCACCACAACAAACAACCAGTGAATTACCCAACTCACTTATTATATTTTTATGCGAAGCCTCAGTGCGCGCCCGCAATCTCCTTTTACAGAGGAAACAGGCGAGTCGAGCCAACGTGCGTTGTTTTTTATTTTTAACAAGACGAGCATTTGTGTAAAACTGAGTATTTGTTAGCGGGATGTAAGAATTACAACCGGGTCTCTCTTGGGATGGAAACAAATAAATGCGAGGGGTAATATGATCGAGAAAGAAACGTGAAATGTTATCAGCTATTTTTCTCGATATACCAGTAGTAGTGGCGTGAAAACCATCCCGAAAAGATACAAGGTGGCAGGTAAGAGAGACCTTATCTAAACAAATGGCCATGGGTTTTGAGGCATCACGCCCTTTGATCTCATAGAGGCGTTGCAGTGCTTGCGTGTTCAGGCCACAACAAGCAAGGCCATAGACAGTGTCTGTTGGGACGGCGATGACACCACCGTTTAGAAGGATTCTCCCAATTTTTTGCAGGGACGAGAAAGCTGAAATAGTAAAAACGAAAGAATATGACCAGGCAGTCTTCTTATAAAACAGTTAAAAGAAGCCGCACTTGGACGTGCAAAATTCAGCAAATCCAAGTCTGCCATGGTCGACTTGTAATCCACAAGATGATATCATTTTATAGGTTGAAAAGCTCCTGAAAAACGCCAAAATGGCGTCCGGAGTGATAAGGCAAAGAAAAATTTGAGGGTCAGACGACAGAACAGGTGTCCACAGTTCTAAAGCCACCTTCACTTGCTTCTTCATCATGCAAGTGTTATATTGTGGAAATGAGTATAGGGAATCTAATTTGAGGCAGGGTTCGTATGCTTCGCTCACAAATCAATAAATAACCGCGGTCAAGATCGTTTCGTAGGCATTCCTCTTCCTCACGTGTGGTCTATGTATAACAACCTCAAAAAACAACTGCGCGAGCTAATGACCGGACGAGGTCTCTTGCTTTTAAAAAAGAAGGTACTGACAGCGTCATCGCTATTTTAAAAAGTCAACGAAAACGCTGCTGGTGATATCGATTCAGAGGGCTACATAGACTCTTCTGCTTTGTGGGCAGCGTTGTGGCCCAAACTATGTGAAACGCTTCGCCTATCAGAGCTAGCTGCCGTTATTCACAAGAGCTATAACCGAGCAAGAAGGCGGTCAGGGAATACCGCGGGCTTTGCAGATATGTCGGTAGTTAACGGCAGACTTTGTGACCACTTACAATGGATACTAAATAAAGGACACCGGCAGACGTCTAGTCTGCTCGACGCAAACAAACAACTGATATTTACGCGAATTCAGCTTCTTACTACAGTTATTTTCACACAAGTATCTGGTTCGTTTAAATCAAACGGAGAATGTTCGATGCTCGTACATGCAACGGTGCAATTACGACCGTCATTTTCCCTGTATTTTCTTGGGGAAGAAGGATGGAAATCTCACGCATATGGCTAACTTTTCTGAAACTGATGCGATTGGAGAGTACAGAAAGTTCTCTTCGAACGCCATAGGGGCTCGATAATGAGCAGTTAACCGGTGATGAGCACTCGAAACCTCTTATAAGGAGTCCTTCAAAAACATGTCAACACACTCTCAAACCGTCTTATGGTACTACATATGCACTTTTTTCCCAAATTGACGTTGCCTTCTGCCGTCTAAAGTTGCACGCACGTACAGAAATGATGAGAACCACGCGTCCCTCAAGCTGCCAACAGCCTGATCCAAAAAAGCCGAATAAATATCGGGGGAAGAAAAGGTACTTAACTGCGGATAGTAATACGCATTAAGATAAAGCAAACGTACGGAAGGGCTAAAAACAGCTCCCGCTGCGAGCTCCTACTCTAAGGATGACCTCTGGCCCAACCATAGCACGTGATGCTTCGTAACTTAGAACATGGAAACATTTCGTTTGATTTCGTCATCTGGTTATTCTAATAATTATACGGGCCGGAAGCAAATAAATGCCCAGGTTCCGGTGCCTTTAGAAGTGTTTTTTCTGATTCCCGTTTTTTAATAATTTTTTTTCCGCTTCGAGAGTTCGTGCTCATTAAATGTCAGCTGTCACGAAGTTAACACTTTCCCCGCATTTCCGCGGCAAGCTGGGCACTACACCACTCTCCGCATGCATGCAAAAGATATTTTTGTTTGCGGAAACACACTTAAAAATCACCTGATAACATACCTTCGTCAACTTTGATAACGTGCGGCAGCACGTTATGCATCTTCACCGGGAAGAGATCCTCATAAACACGCCAGATAAAGAGCTGATTAAAACGAGATCGTTGGCAGTTAGCCAAAATACGTATGTGAATTCACTGCCGCGGGAGCAGTGGGTGGGTTGCTGCGGTAGGCTGAGGTTTCTGACGTTAGGCTGCCGGCCTATGCGCATTTCCGAATTTTTTCTCATTGTATTTTATTGTACACAAGAATTTTCGTGTACTGTTCTTTGAGCAAGCTAAAATAGTTAAACAACTGTTTTCGGCTTTCGAAAACACATATTTTGCGCTTGCATACTGCACGGTGTCTTCGTTTTACTCATTACGCGCACGTGCCTCAATCCCTTTTGTTAACTGTCACAATCAGCTCTCATTCCTCGGTCCTATCTCACCCGGATTGAATTTCCCTATGCGAAAAGCTCTACGAACAGACCTCAGATCCGGACATTCTATATTTTACCTAAAGTATTCTTTGCTGTTCAAAAACTGACAATGGATAGAGCTTTATTTTTCATTTGTCTGCACATCACAATTTTGAAAGAAACTCAGAGTCACCCATTTGGCGTTAAGTTTTTTCCTGTATTTATTGTTTCTTAGTAGTATTGACCTTTGTTTGCATAACAATTTTACCCTTTTATAGCGTTGCAAAAACCAACAAACCAGAGTTCGTGACTGGGTTTCAAGCACAAACCCGTCCTGTCACCCTGCAAAAACACATCAACATAATAGCTGACTTATATTCATGGGTCAACGTGCCCAAACACCCTTATGCGATTGAGGCACACGCCAGTCGATAAAGTTCAGAAGACCGTTAAAGAACTAGAGATTCTTCACTGAAAAAAAACCAGCATGGGTCTTGTGGCTCAGTGTAGCGCAATACTCGTATAATAGGTCAGCTGATCACTGCGAAATTTTGCGGGCGCTAAAAATTTGCGGAGGTGCCAACAAACTTTGTTAATTTGCTACAAATATACAAGCACAAACTGGATACATGGAACCTTCTCATCATAACGCGACATAATAGAAGGTGTGTGTATCCTCCGGGTGCAAGAAGGCATAAATTGAACTTTGAGATGAGTTTCTAGAAGCTCTGCTAACGCAATGCTGTCATAGCGTCCAACAAATAAAATCGAGAAGTCAAGAGCCCTGCGGCCGCCATTAGCCGACTTCAGCAATATCTTACGAGTAATCACTTTGGATAACCTATGTGGCTAGCAGATTTTCTTGTTCTTAGGCCTGGGACAAGCTGGGACTGATTGGGCCACTGCATAATCCGATGGGTCCTTCATTTTTTATTACTTTCAACAGAACCTATTAATTTTTTTTTAAAGTATGAATAAAATGAACACTTACTGTATGTAGACTGCCCCCTAGAGGTAATCGTACAAGTAAAGCACTTGTATTATATCTCTTCGGTGGAGTTGGTGCCAAGATGGTATGGGAGACAATACAAAAGTTCCCAAATCGGAAGTAGGAAAAGACGGATTGGGTTAGACAACCGCTAATGCTGCGGAAGTGTGCATACAAGGTTCTGCAAGCAGTCGCCGCGAGCAGGCTCTCCAGGCAGGTTGGGCTGTCTGCGTCCGCTGTTGAGGTTACTCGTCCCCCAGTGCGTATGTGCGCCTTACTCTGTGCCTCAGTGGTCGAGTGCCGATCAGAGAATGGGCAGCGTCTATTAGTCTCGAGCACTTGCGAGGTTATTGACAAGCCTTGCGTATCCCATCGGCGAATCGATAGGGAGCGCGGGGCGGATAGAAGACAGTGTGACAAATCGGCGGAGAGCGAGGAGGCGCTGGCTGCTATAGTACCTCACGGCAAGACATAAGACGGCCTGTAACGGCGCCGAAAATGTTGTTCATTTCTAAAAGCATGGGTAATCAAACAGTCAGTAAAATGGACGTGATGTCCACTACGGGCGATAAATACAGGAATCGCAGGGGAAAAATGAGTATGGTTTGCGGTTACAGTTTTAGGATTAACAAAAATGCCCCGGATGTGGGGTATAGGGACGGAGGAATAGAAGGTAGTCAGTGTGGAACAGGGGGCAGAGGACAACAGCGCTCGTCCAGAGGAGTGCCCTGAACAGCAGTTTTGCCGCTGTCCACGCTCACAGCCACCTCGAAAATTCCGAGGTGGATAAGGAAGGTCCTCGTCCTGGAATTGTATGCCAGAAACATCCTGTTCACAGGGAGAATCAACGCGGCGTTGTAAGTCAGCTTTCTCGGCCAGGTCGATCTCTAGAGAAAGTTGGAGATGTGCGATGTAGGGCCTGGACAGTGCGTCAGCCACGTTATTGTGTGGCCCGTCGATGTGGCGAATGTCTAAAGCAAACTGCGAGATTGACAATGAAATACGTTGTCTGGTAATTTACACAAGGCTAACCTATTATCTGATTTCTTCACGTTTGTGTTAACCGAGGAGCCGTATTTTGATGAAAGACTTTACCCACCCCCTCCCCAATTTTCAAATCAAGCAATAAAATCAGCATGACGGTCCTCACAACAGACAAGGTAAGGAAAACCTTAAGTCAAACACACCCCTCTAAATCGCCTGGTCTGGACGGAGTACTCCAAAAAAGCCTGCACAAGCTCTCAGACCAATTGGCCTCTCCGTTATCCAAGATCTCGAAAACTTCGATGGAGTCTGGGGTTCTGCCTACCGACTGGAAGCAAGTCAATATAAGCCCCTTTTATATAAAGGTGGCGAGGGAACAGCCCTAAATAGTTTCAGAACAGCGAGTTTCACAAACATTTGTTGCAAAGTGCTAGAAAAGGTAATAAAAAAGTAACTGATGCGGCATCTTGAAGAAAACAACTTGTTCAGGTTGCAGCAACATTGACTTCGAAGGGGTCGATCCTGTCTTACTAACCGGTTAGGATCCTTTGAGAGCTAGACGAAATAAGTCGAAATGTGTTTATCTTCAGAAATGCTTTTGATAGTGTTCCACACAAACGACTTATATTTAAACTACATGAAAAGGACGTGAGTGGTAATCTGCTGGAGTGGTTAGCTGATTTTCTTACGGACAAATCTCAGCGTGTTTGCATCGGTAATGCTAAATCAGAATGGACATCCGTTCGAAGTGGCGTTCCGCAGGGGAACGTTCAGGGTGCAATTCTATGTTTAATACGTGTGAACGACTGCCTGGACTGTCTAAACTACGAGCGCGTAATGTTTGCCGATAGTCTCAAATTGTGGAAATCAATAAAGAAGCCGGAGTCCAAACGGTATGCGCAGGAACTCAAAGAGGCCAAAGGAAGCGGTGACGGCCGTCTTCGAAGCGAGAGGAATCTGGCGGAAGGCACGGACCAGGTCGATCTTCGAGAACACAGATCTGCCGACTAGAGTGCCGGGAAAATCCTGAGGGTGTGGGACAGGGTAGAGGGCCAGGATGATTACGTTGTTCAGGCCCTCTAATCAACGTAGGGGCGCGAGAAAGATAAATTGGATTATTTGTAAATTCATAGCTATCGACCACAGAGCATGTACGAGCGTAAACGGGGCAAACTGCGTGCTTGAACGTTAGAATGTTAACTGGCACTATAGTCTATCACATTCCCAAGAGGCGAGAAACAGGACGTTGTTAACTTTCACAAGTATTTTTACTGGGCGAACTACGCAAGATGCTTAGCGTCGTATCTGTTCTGTAAAAACCTGCCGCATTAATAAATAGTTGGGCGGAAATCAACGACCTCATGGACTGGATCATGATCCCTGCTGTCCTAACTATGCCCTAAACGTTTGTTTTTCCCTTTAGGCTAGGGATCTGGCAACCATTGTTCGCGAACCAGCGTAATGTTTCAAGGCAACGTACAAAAGCTGGACCACCCATGACACCATTCTTCCACCTAGAAAGGTCTTGTTCGTCTTTTAGACCAGATTCGAAAATGGGTTTTTGCAGCAAACAGGCAGTTTTCCAAGATCTCCGCATACTCAGAACTACCTATAGGTAGTCCAAAGTTAGTCTGACAACCTGACAAGTTCATTCGGCGGTCTGAGTTTGTTGCTGTTGGGAAAATTGAATTTTATATCTGCGTGGTCCCATGAAAGCAGTGATTTTAAACAACCACTACGGATCGGGGCGACCTATGCCTATTTGCAGACGTTTCACGACATCCCTAAAAGAATTTACACACTACATGCTATGTTTGTCCGGACGCACCTACAATACCACTTTGTTCCCTAATCTCAACTGATTCGTACCATTGATTCGATGTGATGGAAACCCAGTTTCTGATACCGTGAAAAACACTCGCAGGACCGAATGTGACAAGCCACCGATAAGCGAAAATGAATGTGAATTATGAAAAGGAAACAGGCAAGAGCATGTAGTTTTCGATAATATAAATTATTTCAGTTGCCAACTGGACAGTGGTTAGTAATTTCAAGAGTTGATGAGGATTGGCATACATATAGCCAACTAGTGTTCGAGCAACAGTTTGTTGTGGGCCGGCGGCAGCTATCAGCAAAATTGAACACATCTTTTATTTACGAGAAGATGCAAAGTTTTTAACGAACAGCTAGCTGTACAATAGAATCCGTAAGAGCTGTTATTTAAAGCAAGAAAAAGCATTGGCTCCCTCCTGTGTTTTGGCTTTTCACATATGATGCCTAAGACAATAAAAATAATAATTTTCTTTAGTTCTAAATTTGAGTTTCTTAAATTGAAGGACGATATGGTCTGAATGAAAAATGAAAAAAATCCCTTATGAAAGGCGACATAGGAGTTCACATAATCTGAGCTTCCTAAGGCAAGTTATTGAAGAGCAAAGTCTCTGCGCAAATGCATATGCAAAGTCAGACATGAAGTTGTGAAGTGATGTGAATCTCGGAGCGTTATGGGCAAAAATATGATGGAAAGACCACAGCACCTCTTGCATAGTATCAGTCCCCTTAGAACACAGGAAATAGTTAAAATAGGCTCGCGCATCTCGGCTGCTCATTGACTTCATTTGTCTTGAATTTCTGCTTTGTCAACAGAATGCAAACTAGGGTTTTTAAATAAA